CCAGTGCCACCATTCTCCTACATCAAGAAAAATCTTTGTGACCACATCACCCCTTACATCTGTGTAAGGGGTGATGTGGTTGGAAAAATTGTTTGACAGATATGACTAGGTTCTCCCGCTTGTGTGGCATGGTGCAGAGTCCTGTTGCCAGACATAGAGACTTCCAGCAGTCAACCTCTTGACCTCCTCAAAGCACTAGGTGTAGTTCTCCATGTTGAGCCTGAAGCTCTCACTAACAAATTTGAGAGTTCTTTTCTTATCAGAATGATCTGAGTGAGTTTTCCAAGCTGCCATACCTTTGTAATCCCCATGAGACTAACCCAACTCTTTCAGAATCCCCTGCACTGTATTCAGATTGATACTAAACACTCTGAAATGTGCATATTAGAGCTTCCAGCAGGAGAGCATGCTGTTTCCAAAGTAAAGGTGGAGTGAACTGCATCATAGTGCTCTTTTTCTCACAGACTTTTTTCTCAACCGACCCTACTATACTGTACAGTCAACAAAATCAAAAACAAACCATGCACATAAGCAAAATTAAAAATATAAAATGCCGACAATTTACCCATCGCATCCTATATATATATATATATATAGAGAGAGAGAGGGGGGGTAACTAACATTATATTTAATTTTCATGGTTTCTAGCAAACACACACACAGTTTTATATGAAATAAATTCAGCATTTCTTTTGTCTGTAATATGATAAGGTATTGTGTTCTTAGAAGAAGGGAAGTGACTTCAATTCTTGTCCAAGGCAACTTGATTATTCTGAATCCACAAAAACAGTAAGAATTTTCATTCCACTAAGCAAATTTGATTCAGAGAACATTTCTAGAATATCAAGTATTGTCTCACTTAGTCTAGCTGGTTTTAAAAATTGTTTACATGCCAAGACTTGCAAGCTTGACTCCCTGTGTCATCACTCAAGCTGCAGCTAGGCTAAATGGAGTCAGAACAACAAAGAGGTGGTTCAAATAATGTAGCTGGAATAATTTGCCTAAATTGTCATCCACACTGGCTTGTTTGGTAAACGTCACAGCATATATAAGACTGTGCTCAGAGGATAACAGAACTAAGATCAATTCATGTCAAAGGCTATCAGCTCTCTATTACAAATTCTCAAAGTTCTATATATTAGAGATTTTTTTTTAACTTAGATAAATGAAAGCACATTGCATTTTGTAATAATTTAAATATTTATACATGGATAGATTTCTAGACAAAAGAAAGTAAATAATATTGTCAAAAGCATGAGTTTATTCCACAGAAAGAAATCTCTGAAGATTATTCCCTTTGAGGTTGTGGTTGTACAGCAGGGATTAATTTACCAGTTCTGGCAGTGAGTAGGTTCAATTTCACAATTCTTTTCCATAAAATATTTCTGATATTTTCAAAATAAACACATATGTATACACTTAAATTGCCATAAAATTATAACCCTATTTTGTCTGTCAGTAATGCTTGTGTGAATTCTTGACCACTGACAAGATCTTTCTTTCTTGATTTGATGTGTACAATATGCACACCAAGCACTGAAACTTGTTAAAACAAATTTTAGTTCATTTCCTTCCCCCCACTTCTCACCAGAAATATTTATTTTGTTTGCACAAGAAAAAATGACTAAAGCTAATTGAGGAAATGGTAGAGTATTGGTAAAGGCATTTGGTAGTTATACATGTTGAAACTTTGCTTATGTATAGCTAATTTGAATTTAGTCAGCACTAAAATATAATAGTGACTAATGCTTTTTTTTTTTCATTTCTCTACTACCAGAATTTGCTCTGCCACTAAATAAATAATCATCAAAGTGAACAAAAGTTTTGATGCATTTTTTTTTTAATAAATCCTACCTGAGAAATCATGCATTACATAAACAGTGAGCAATTCTATAAGATTTCACTCAACTTTTCATTTTTTTTTAAATCATTTCACCCCAAGCAAGGCAATAATGCCACTAGGGTGCATGGGGGTTACTAAGAGTGAAAGAGAATGAGAATATAGGAGAAAGAACAGGACTCAGAAAGAAAGAAGATGGTGATTTATGTTGCATTTAAACTTTTGAAGATTTTTGAGAAAAATTGTCTGGCACAACACAGTGAAGCAACTTTCCTAGCAATTGATTCAATAGAATCACTCTACTTCATGTCAGTGGAAACCAAGAAGGTGTAACATTTGACTATTCACAGAAAGTAAGTAACAGCTACAATACAAGTCAAGAGCATCCGTGTTGCAGTTAATTGTAAAGGGCTTTCTCTGGCTGTATAGTAAGCATATTGCCAAGACTACATATGAATTTGAATTCAGAGTTGTGAATCTCCTAGTCTGGTTGACACCATAGCAACAGAGCCCCATCTGCCCTAATATTTAACTCATAGCTTGGAAAGAGAAGAGATGAATTCATAACTTTGTATGAAACTGAATGTCATAAACTCAACCAGGATTTGAACTCCGCTCACTTAATTCTCATTCTGAGCAGCTAACCACTACACTATTTACACAACTATAAATCAGTATTTGTTTTATGAATGCATAAATTTATTCAAACATCTGAGTTTTTCACACTTTTCATAATGAAGAAAAGGTTATATGTATTTAAAAAAAAAAAAAAAAAAAAGGGCCAAAGTTAACTTTTAGTTTACACGCCATGACAGCCAAGCCACATTTTTCTTCTTTTTTTTTTTTACTCAGCATAGCAATAAAGTACATCATCAAATTTTACAGTAATAAATACAGTTTTTGGCTAACCTTCATTGCACTACAAAATTATATATATATGAAAGGGGTGCTGAAAAGTTCCTGGCCTAATCCACTTCATTGGCTAAACAACAAAAATAATTTTTTGTTTTTTGTTTTTTTAAATCCCTTCTTGGTCAAGCTAAGAATATTTCACTATCCCCAACAGACAAAACTTTCTGTAATTCTGACTCTAGATCAGTTACGACTGAGTAATGAGTTCAATCCTCACTGAGTGCTTTATACTTGCAGCCTTGGGCTACATCTAAGCTATGATTACTAAATCACTAGAAAAGCCATCAATGGAATAATCACTTATTTGTAAAAATCACAAAATGAGTAAGAAAACCCTCATATAAATTTGTTATATCTTGGCAATTTGTGCCTATTGAAAATAAGTCCCATGCTGGCAGATATAAATATTAAAACTATTTATTTGACACTGAACTTTTATATATATATATATATATATATATATATATTATATACACACACTTAAACCAACCAACTTTATATATAACTTTCTTAATTTTCAGTGTTTTGAGCCAGCACAAATATTATGTGAGAGAAATAAATTCAGTATTTCTTTGGTAAGCTATTGTGAAGAAAGAATTCTTGTCTCAGGCAATTTGTTTATTCTTAATCCCCCTCCCCCAAATTTATTTCACTAAAAAAATATGGACAGTTTATTGAAACCATTGTATTTTTCTGTTCCATATATTTGTAAAAAAGGTGAGTCCTCTCTCATAAAATGTATACATGAAGAAGGCCAAAGAATGGATCTGCCAAAATGTAGCAACAATAAAAACAACCAAGGATGTGTTCAACTAACAAAAAAATTCTTCAAATCTCTTGTCCAGGCATTCTTCTATTTTTGGCAATTTTAACTACTTACACAGAATGCAGCAAAAGTAACACCTTTTATGTATTTACTTTTATTCAACAAAAATAAATTACAATAGTTTAAGATTATATATAAATATTGTCACATCAAAACAACATTTGATTAGGAAACTATTTAACACGTTCAAAAATCTCATCTTCATGTTCAATAAAACACAACACTTCTACAAACCATTTGACACATTTCTATAGAAAATTTATCAGAAATTTCTTGTTTCAGTTCAGGAACTATTTTCAGTTTAAACCTGGAAAAAAGATCGTTCAGTCCCGACCCCACAAGAAAAAGTCTGGTGGTGATGGTCACTCAATTGTTCCACATCATCAAAAAAACAATAGTGTTACTTTTGCCGCACTTTACAAAATCCCAAATCCTTGTAATTTTTTTTTTAATCATGTTATAAATAGAAATAAACACAACTCATGCCAAAGTAGCATGCTCTTGCAAAATGACATTTAAAAACTTAAAGTGGAATGCAAATGAATCTAAACAGAATTACAACTTAACCTGTTCATTGTCAGAAATAATGCATAAAATAACACATCTTAGCAAGTTGTCCATTTCATGCCATGGTAACTTATGATAATGTGCTATCTTTTCATAAGATACCAGCATCCCATTGTGCAAGCAAAAGATATTTAAATATTTACTTTATTGATGATTAGAATTACTATTTTCATTTTCTTGACATCCATACATAATAAATTGTGTTCCAATTTTTTTTTTAGTCAGAAAGAGAAAAAGATTTTCTAACATATATTCAATTTCTAATTTTAAAAAAAATATATTTGCAACTTTTGTACAAATATAAGATATAATCCTAAATAGTATCTTAATTTAATCAATAAAAATATATTGTAAAAAAAAAAAAAAAAATCAATATCATGATATTATGAAAAATAAAAAACTATCAACAATTTTTTTTTTTTTTTTTTAGAAATATCAATTTTATTGTTTGTTGTATTTTTAAGTATGTGTTAAATTGTTTAAGAGATAGAAATAGAACAGTAAGTTCATTTTTAAGATTAAGCAACAAAATTAAAGTTCTTCCCATGAAAATATTAGATTTTTTTTTCGTAAATTCTCCAAAGAAGTGATGGCTATTTAGCTTATTAAAATAATTAAGGTTTACACAACTTTTTAGCGATTTTTTTTAGACCTTACAGGTAGATCCCCATTTTATGTTATGTTTTAATTTAAATGATTAAGAAAGATTTTCTTGTATGAAAATCAACCAATTTTAAAACACACAAAGACTTTTCTATTTTCTTTGATTCTCTTGCAAGAATAACTTGATAGGAGAGTCAAAAAATATATTTTGCAGTGAATAGATTAAACAAAAAGACAAATGCAACTGCTGACCTTTGCAACTTTCACATGTTAAGAGTCCATAATGATAGCCAGAAACTTTGTCTCCACACACAGGGCACAACTCGTCAAATCGCACTTTTACATCAGGTGAGCACTGAGGGTCATTCATGGAAGTTGAAGCTGTAAAAACAATAAAAAGAAACATCAAGAACAAGTAAAAAACAAAATCATTAAAATCTTATTGGTATTTCTTTCACATTCAAGGGAAATGACATAAAATACAAGTAACAAAGTTAGTAATGCTGGATAGGTCAGGTTCATTAACTTTTACTATATCATAAGAATATAAGCCAACTTTTGAACTAAGCTGAGTATCTACCGAAGTAGATCATCTGCTTGCCAGTGTTTACAAAAACAATAACACCACGGAAGTCTCAAGGAAAATAAAAACTACAAAGAAAGTTAAACTTACAATCAGAAAGAGACCAATGAAATTTATGGGATATGTCAAAGTAGTTCTAAAATATTATCTCTGTTCTGATGTCCATTCACACAGACAAAGAAGAATGGTAAAAGGAGGATAGAAAAGGAAGCTGTAGAGAGCCATGATCGACCATTTCTAAAAGGGGAATGACTCAGTGAAAAAGAAAATTGAGTAACAGAAATGCATGAAATGTTTCAGTGGCCTTAAATAAGAACAAAAGACATTATAGATAAACAGTTTTAAACAAACAAAAAAAAAAAAAAAATTCTAAATACTTAACAGTGTAAACATACCCAGAGGGGACCCTATCTCAGGTTTTCATGGACTGTAACAAAAAAAAAAAAAAATAAAAATAAATATCACCCCATGTGTCTCATTTCTAGTTTGAGTAGGTTGGCATAAAAACTGGGAAATGCCATTGTATGCATACCTGGAAAACTGAAAGTGAAATTAAAGACAAATCCTTTTCCAGTATCTTTGGTTGTTTACTCATAGATTCACTTAGCACAGTCTGTTGGGTAGTCACGAGGGTGAACTTCAGCTACTTCTGCTATGATTCTCTCCTACCACCCTTCTGTCCAACTTCACATCTACCTAATATAGCTGTTATTCTGCTAATATAAGCCTGCAGCCAGAACTTTAAATCTTCTAGCGAAGTGGCACTTGATCCGGAAAGTTTTCATTTAATTATTTATTTTCTCTATTTTCTTTTGGTCAATGGGTGCTTTCTTTAAAGCGCTAAACTTTGTAGACTTTATGGTCTGTGTTGTCATAAAAAGGAATTGCTGCACTTCAGACCAAGATAAAATCATTCACAGTCCACTTTATTGTGTGGGGCCACATTGTAACACAATGGGGAGGATGAAAAGAAGTGAAATCTGATTTTTCAATATCCACTGAAAGCATTTAAACTTTAATCAAAAATTCTCATAAAATCAAAATCATTCAACAATTATGTGCCTAATGATGAGTAAAACAATTGTTCACTCTTGCATCATTAATGAATTATTTTACAGCACTAGTCTACAATTTGAAGAGAAAGTTTATATCCTATGAATATTAATTATCATACCTCTAACTTTTAATCATATTTATTTTACTACAATGACTAAATACTATGAAAAACAAGACAAGCCTATATTTTGTTTTCATTTCCAAAACCATTGGCGACCGGGGTTGGGAGGGTGAGCATTTTATGAACTAAATGCTATCACAAAGAGATAGGATGTGTTTGTTTCTTATTTATATCATTTAAAAATTCACATCTAGTGACTCAAGTTATTACTGATAGCCTACCAGATTTAGTAAATAATAACAACTTAATCAATGTCAAATGTTCTTGAGGGAATCAAACATGGAAATGAAAATTATGGATAAGTATGAAAAATAATAGCCCCAAAGCTCAATTAGGAACATTATTTTCATTTCTTTATCATCTACACACAATATATTTTGGGTGTGTGCAAAAATTTCCAGTATTTTCTTTTTTTCTCACAAGAATAAGAAAAATGATCTTCTACAATTCAGTTTCTAGAAATAAAAAAACAAAAGTATGTGATGGGTACTTTTTCACATACCAAACATAATTCTAAATACTATGTTTATAGTATTCATCAGTGTTTACAATAAAAACCATGTGGTTTATATGCTTAAAGTGTCTAACATGAAAATCATTAAGGCATTTGAGATGTGGTGTTATTGCCATATCTTGCAAATATTAAGGACTGATAAGATGAACAATTCAGTTTTGTAAGAAATTAGCCAAGCAATTGTCTATCTGACAATAGTAAGGGCAAAACAGCATTAAAAACAGTTTCAGGGTTTGTTTTGCTTCTTTTTTTTTTTTTTGCATTAATGTTCACTCTGTACAGGGCCGAGAGCCACTCGAGGTAGAGGGTTACAAAGTAAGAGACACAGTTTATGTAGGGAAGATAACAGTTAACTCTAAACTTGAACAGATTAAGATTGTATTGATCAGGGAAGCATCCACTTGAGAGTTGGTTTCACAAAGCAGCTACTCAAGTGGAACTTAATCTCACCAATGGAATACAAAGGGAATGAGGGTGATTCACTACAATGTGCATAGTATAGTGGGTCTTAGCCATGAAGGTTAAAACTGGTGGAACTAAGGAATGCAGCTCGTCGCCATGGAAATAGCAATAGAGCAGTTACACAGTTACAACATTTAGTCTATGAGTATGTGGTTGTAGGGTGTAAGGCAAGATTGCTCTGAACTGCGAAGATCAAAATAAGAGCACAGGGTCAGCAACGTACAACATCAAGAGACAGATCAGTTCTCCAACATGGTCTGCAATTTGCAGACATGACGTAATGATGATTACAATAAAGATATATTGTAAAAAAAAAACAGAAACAAACAAACAATGACTATCAACCATTTTTTTTAATAAATATCAAAATATGTGTAAATTTCTGTGATGAGGAGTTATTTATATTCAGATAGTTGTTATCACAAGGTTTTGTCCATTGTGTTCTTCAGCTTTCATCAGGTGTATATAGATCTGGGTCAACTACAGGAAATTCTGAATAAAGGGTTCAGATCAAAATTCCCTGTAGATTACCCAGATCAATATACACATGGTGAAGGCCAAAGGGCACAACAGTCAAAATATGATGATGACAACAATAGTCTGAATGTATATAGTGCAAATGTGTATCTAAAAGAAATAAAAATAAAAACATAGTAATGCATTTTTGAAATTACACAACAAAAAAAAAAATAAAACTTTTTTCCTTTTTTAAAGTTTCTCCCATGGAAATCTCCTCCCAAAGACAATATGAAGTAATGACCATTGAGATTATTAAAATAAGAAGCTAAAAAAATAAGCTAGAAAAGGAGCCATTTCACTCCCTGCCCCCACCAATATTACTAAGCAACTGAATTCTGAAGACCATTGTGAGTCTAAGTAGGTTGTTAAAAGAAACTGCAAGAGAGCAAAGTAAAGCTATATAGTGAGAAGTATTGCAGAGAGAACGCGAGATCAGAGGTTAATAGCAAGAGTAATGCAGCAGCCATGTCTGCCTGCCTGCCAAACAGTTGAGGATCAAAACTACCAATGAGTCACACACTTTCAGCAAGTCATTAAAGTAGAAAAAAGCTTATTAGATTACATAACATTATAAGAAGGAATTAGACCATTAAGCATAGTCACTGAAGGATGGAGAGGTTGGCAGCCATGTTGTCGGTCAGCTCTTGTCATACACTATGTGTGCATTCAGTCTATTAATAAACCATTCAAAACCACATGACAATTCTTATCAAACCATTATTACCAATCTATTATCATAACCAGAACATATCTAATGGAATGTTGCTACCAATACAATTCTATTTGAATAACTGCTGTTCAACATTTATCTTGAGATGTTGCAGCCATCAAAGGTACAATCAACCTACTGTGGTATTCCTATATTTCCATAATGTTACAGAGAAGAATTGCAAACACAGTGTGGTATCTGCTACCTTCCCATGATGATGTAGTGAGGCACCATTGCTATCTTACCATGACAATATAGTGATGTATTGCTATTTGTCTCACTCTTATCAGATGAGTTGTTGCTATTCCATGGATCTATTTATTGAACTATTGTTCTTGCCTACAAGTAGTGTGTTGCTATCTGTTTAAGTACACTTGGATGCTGAGTTACTCATTTAAGACTGAGGTATTTCTGGTATTTCTAATGCTAATACATGAAAAAATGTCAAAATAATAGAAAATTCACATTTCCTAAATCTGAAAATTCAACAGGTTATTTTGTTCCCTCGTTACTTGAAATCTGATATCGCATATTTAATCTCTTCCCCACCAATTATTTGGGAAAAAACATTTCATTTTAAAATGTTTTTTACTTTGTTTTTAATATACTAAGAAAATGAGGCACCTGAGTGGTGACTAACACCTCTATCAGACATATGAGTTGACAATTGGACTCATTTCAAGCTCAGAGCATAAAAAGAATCAAGATCGACATATAAACACATCTATAGCTTGTTTTCGAACATTATGTTTTGGATGTGTTTATTCGTCCATGTCTGAAATAGACACTTTCGGTAAAAATGTATATCCATGTCTTCACCAGGGAAGGGGTTAAAATAACGAGCAAAAAAGTTCATTAAACTGTGGGAATATAATTATTTGTTTGCTACCCACACACTATATTTCTGCTTCTGTCTGTTCAATTGAATTTAAAATTTATGTGTCAATTCTAGTCATGAGTAAGTTGTTAAAAGAAAAGAATTTGTTTGTGTGATAATGTAAGTCTGAGATTTTGAAATGAGCTGTTCAAAGTTGTTTTTTTAAGACTATCTACATGGACAATGGAAAAGCTGAAATTTTATATGTGTGGGTGTCAAAATATTTTTTGTCCTGATCCACTTCCCAAAATCTAACCAAATGGCCAAACATCAAATTTTGTTTGGAATCCCTTCATGGTTAGGCCAAGACATTTCAAGCATCCTCTAGTTAAAAAAGAAAGAACAAAAATAAGAAATAAAGCATTGTATATTGCTTGTGTAACATTCAAAAGTTTTGTCTGCAAAATGTGTATAGAAGGTCAGCTATTACTGTGAAGTTGTTAATCATGTGATACTATTCAGTGATATACAATTCACCATGTATTTATTAATTTACTTTATAAACCTAAGAAATAATAAAATTATTCTAATAGTTTTTGT